CATTATAACATGATATAAAACTCAAAAAAGTGGATTTTACATGAAATTGCCCCTTTAAAAGAATTATTAAACAATGCCTCGGCTGCTCAGGAATCACAGTTCATCTCAAAACTTCCTTATTTTATCATAAAAACACTAAAAATATCAACAGACTTTCACATAAACAAAAAAAAAATTTAAAAAGCCAATAAAGCAAAAATATTGTTCCTTTTTATAACAGAGGTCAGTTTTTTAGAGCATAAACTCCTTTCATGATGGGTTTGTAACGAGTAACTAGATGTTAAATTTTAAAGTAAAGAAGTAAAATGATCAATTTTAGGTTTTAAATGTAACAAAATAAAAGTAAAAGTCATGATTTAAAAAAAATACATTGTATTATTACAAATCCTCAAAAAAATTACTTAAGTACTGTTACGAAGTAAAAGTACTTAGTTACTTTAAACCTGTGGTGGTTTGGGAACCACAGGGTCTCGTCTCTTCTGTATGCAGATGATGTGGTTCTGTTGGTGTCACTGGGACGGATCGTGACTAGGACGAGACTCAGCTCCTCTGAGTCTGACGCCGTGGTTCTTGACAGGAAAAGGGTGGAATGCACCCCTCCAGGTCAGTGGAGAGTCTCTGCCTCAAGTGGAAGAGTTTAAGTATCTGGGTATCTCATTCACGAGTGATGGTAGGGTGAAGCGGGATCCATGGATTGGGGCCTCATCTTCAATAATGAGGGCGTTGCTTCGGTCAGTCGTGGTGAAGAAAGAGCTTAATCTAAAGGCAAAGCTCTAGATTGACTGGTCTGTCTTCCTTCCAACCCTCACCTTTGGTCATGAGGTGTGGATCATGACTGACAGAACCAGATCCTGGATCCAGGATCTGGTTCTTTCAAGCCTTAGAGAGAGGAGGAGGAGCTTGGAGTAGAGCCGCTGCTCCTCCACACCGAAAAGAGTCATTTGAGGTGTTTCATCTGATCAGGAGCCTCCTGGACGCCTCCCTTTAGAGGTGTTCCACAAGTCCCACTGGTAGGAGGTCCAGGGGAAGACCCAGGACTCACTGGAGGGATTATGTACCCTTTCTTGTCTGGGACCACCAGGGGGTCCACCAGGACGAGCTGGAAAGTGTCATGGGGAGAGGGAGGTCTGGTCTTTCCTGGACCTGTTGCCTCCACGACCCGACTTTGTATCAGAGGCAGAAGATTAATTCTTACCCAGTTTCATGTTGATTGGGTGTTAAACTGGTTTAAACTGGTTTGACCTTCTCAGTCGTGGTCGTTTGTTGGTCCATTGGGTGTTAAACTTGTTTAAACTGGTTTGACCTTCTCAGTCGTGGTCGTTTGTTGGTCCAGTCTACAGGAGTTCTATGAATCTGGAGGAGGATTTTGACAGCGTTACCCCAAATTTAAGACCTGTCTGGTTCCTGTAGAACCAAAACTATAGGGGGACCCAGATCCTCGACACAAAGCCAACCTGATTCACCAGGTCCAAGGTCTTGTTCTTGGTCTGAAAACATCCAGACACCCCCAGTTGTAGATGTTCATCTAATCATTACTTCCGTTAAAATGGTTTGTGAGATATTTCGCTAACAACCACGCTGAGTTCAGCAGTTCTTGTCCAACCATGTAGGAGTTTAAGTTAGGGATGACTCTCGGCTACAACCACTTTTTACGTGTTCCTATCTTGCTTCGCCGTGGCAGCCATCTTGAAGAGGTAACGAGCCGCAGTGATGCCTTCATGAACAGGAACATCATCGCTGCTGAATAAACAACAGGCAGAGTGGAAGATGAAAACAAATCCACAGGTGAGGTGAGGAGGCTCCTGTCTCTTTAAAAGCCGGATTGTGCGACTGAGCAGAGCAGAGGAGAGGAGAGGAGAGGAGGGGGGTTCAGCTGCAGTGGAACAGTCTTCTCCACTGAGCAGGTTCTCTGAGCCACAGACCCACGCAGACCGAGGAGACCGTGAGACCCAGGCAGCAGGCGGGGAGGCGGGCCGTGCGTCAGCCGGAGCTCCACAGGGGGAACATGGAGATGAGCAGGAGAGGGCGTAGAACCGCCATCCATCCCCGCGTTCCATCAAACCGCCAACCTGAAGGCGACACACACAGGGGATAAACCACTTATGGACGCAGTGGATTAAAGACCTGCAGATACACAGAGAGGAGGAGGAGGAGGAGGAGGGAGAAGAGCAGAAATTAATCTATTCATTTGTTTATTTTCACGGTGTGTGTGCGCACAGTTTCTGTCAGGAGTGTGTGTCTGCAGGAGACTGCATTGCTGCTCTCCATCACTGAACGACTCAGGAAAAAAAAACTGAATCTCTTCTGATTTTTTTAAAATTTTTACTCCATCTCTTCCTGCATGTATGACTGCAGCACATATGAGGATGAAACGATGTTGATGATCGGATAATCAGGATAATCACTTCTGGGGGGTTTTGTGTGTGTTTGGAGGGGTGGGGGGCCTCGCTGGTGATTTGAGGTTTGGTGGTTTGCAGGGAAACTTCCCAGCTCTGCACCCCAGAGAGGTGGAGGCATCATCAGGTAGGAGGCAGAAGGAGAAGAGGGCCCGAGTGAGGAGGAGCAGGAGGGAGTAGGAGGACCGTGTAGGAGGCCGGCGGAGCTGCCTGATGGTTGAAACTCCAGCTCGGGGAGGATAATGGCAGCTTCGGGCCACGCTCTGCTCCTCTCTCACCTGCAGGAGCTGCGCAGAAGCTGAAGCTCCGCCGGGAGGATGGTGTGAACGGCACCGTCCCCCCCACCCCAGCCTGACGCAGCAGTGAGGGTCTCTTCATTTCTCCTGGCTCGGCTGTGATCTGGTTGGAAGGCAGAGGTGGGATTTCTGGGTTCGTGTGGGAGTTCTCTCCCTCCACTCCTGCCTCCTCACCCCTCACCTCTCCGACGGGCCGCTTCGGGCACCAAACTGTCCTTCTTTTCACTCCCTTTCTTTTCTTTTTCTTTTCTTTTTATTTTTGTTGAGGCTTCAGGGGATTTGCCAAGACCTGTTACATGCATGTCCACTGGCGGCAGGTTCAACTTTGACGATGGGGGGTCATACTGCGGAGGGTGGGAGGAGGGCAAGGCGCATGGCTACGGGATCTGTACGGGACCCAAGGGCCAGGGCGAGTACTGCGGCTCCTGGGCCCATGGGTTTGAACTGTTGGGCGTCTACACGTGGCCCAGCGGGAACACCTACCAGGGCACCTGGGCGCAGGGTAAGAGACACGGTCTTGGGGTGGAGAACAAAGGCCGGTGGGTGTACAAGGGCGAGTGGACTCACGGCTTCAAAGGGCGCTACGGCGTCCGGGAGAGCACGGGGACGAGCGGGAAGTACGAGGGGACATGGAACAACGGGCTACAGGACGGGTATGGAACAGAGACGTACTCAGATGGAGGTAAGCACCGAGCACAGATGCATTGTGGGTGTTCTGGTGGTTTGTTTGTGGGTAGGAGGAAACGTGTGACCATGTGTGAGTTTTTGACGTCATCAGAGCAGAGTGATTGGCAGGTTGGTAGGAGGAAGGTTTTCTCGGGTTTCTCAGGTTGTCCTGTCCTGTTTCACGACTCAACACAACTCACACAAGATTCGAAATTAAATTTTAACATCAGCTGTCCATCCAGACATTCCATTTTCCTGATTCTCCTCTCCAGTTAAGGTTAACAGGGTTAGGGTTAAGGTTGGAAGGGTTTGGGTTAGCAGAATTAGCAAGATTAGGGTTATCAGAGTTAGCAAGGTTAGGGTTAGCACGGTTAAGTGTGTAGGCTTAGGGTTATGGTTAGCAGGGTATAATGTTAGGGCCAGGGTTACCAAGGTTAGGGTTAATAGGGTTAGGTTTGTGGGGGACGTGGACAGGTCTCCAGTCCATCACACATGTATGTTTTTAGTCTTTGGGAGCAAACTAGAGTACAGTTGGAGAAAACCCACATTAGCTCAGGAAGATCACCAACTGTGTTGCCCCTGACATAAACTAGATTTATTTAAATTGAGATTAATTTTTTTTCACAAACACAAATTATTAGTTCGTCTAAGTGTGAAAACACAGATGCCTTTGATTCGAATCAAGATTCAGCCGTAAGAGTTAAGAAAGAAACGATAAAAAGTGTCAAAAAAGCTGAAGCTGTGTAGTTAAAACTGAAAGAAGCAGAACGATGACTAAAAATGGAAAATAGTGAAATTGTAGCTAAAAGCTAACAATAGCAACAACAAAAAGCAGCAGAAAGAAATTTAAAAATGATCAATATTTTTACAGAAACTGAAGATATTTTTGTGTTTTTCTATGAGGATCATATTTACTCCTGTATGTTCAGGTGGTTGTAGAAACTCTTGTATGTTCAGGTGGTTGTAGAATCTCTTGAATGTTCAGGTGGTTGTAGAAACTTGTGTAAATACAGGTGGTTATAGAAACTTGTGTTTATACAGGTGGTTGTAGAAACTCTTGTATGTTCAGGTGGTTGTAGAAACTCTTGTATGAGCAGGTGGTTGTAGAA